GATTAGTTCGTATTCTGAGGCACCTGGCATGGGACAGGCCGCGTATGCCTGGGCGGGCAAAGGGCTCCTTCCCTCACACAGAGCCCAGTCCCAGACCTTTCCTCTGGGGGGCTCAGGCTGGCGCTGGGCTGGGACCCTAACCAGTGGCTAACAAGACGGACTAGGAAAGAGGTGTCCTTCCCCCCACTGCTGCCCCCTTCACTGACACACAGGAGGCTGCTCTTGAGCGTGGGCGCTGGGGCGACGTGGAGCAGAGAGACTGCACGGCTCATGTGTCTCATACGCATGACCAAAACGTGGCCTTCCAGGGACGCCCGGTGGGGACACAGCATTTCACTGGGGACACCGACTTGCGCCAAGTGCACTGGCCCGGCCAGACTCGGAGTGGCAGGGGCAGGCATGGGGGGCTGAGCCGGTGACTGGTGGTGCAGACTGGCAGAGGGCAGGGGCTGCCGGACGGGAGATGCAGGGTGGGGGTCGTGGGTGCCGGCAGGGCAGAGCCCACAGTCCACACCCCGAGGACAGGCTTGCCCCAAATCACACCCCGTGCGAGGAAGCCCTGGCTGAAGGGAAGGGGAGCCGGCGTCCTGAGAACCTTGGGACCAGGCCCCAGCCGCGCGGTGGGAAGGCTGTGTTCCAAGTCGGGGCGGGTAAGAGGGCCGCCTCCGCTGCGCTCTGGGCGGGGCCGAAACTGGTCCTTTCTCCAGGGAACAACTTGAAAACGCATATCTAAGATGGCCTTTGCCCCATCCATGCCATTTATGGGGAGCATATCCCTCTGGGCCTGCATCGTATCATCGTCTGCCGCAGAGGAAAATATGCGGGTGACATGCGTGTCCGCTGGGTACAGGATGCAGGACAGCCACAGTGACACGCGCTGTACTGTGAGGCTCCATGGCAACGTGCGATGACAGGAATGGCTCTCAGCGGGAACCGTGACGCTACTTCCAGAACCTTTCCCGAGGAGGAGGCTGCTCAAAGGCTACACACAGGGATCGCATGTATGTGCATGCACGTCCACACGCAGACACGTACATGGCACAGCGGAATACTAGCATCCATTCTCTTTGGTCTTGGTGTGTCTTAGCTGTATTACACGCGGTTGTGGTTGTTTTACACATTTTAAACTCGGTGTGACTCTCGCCGTTACAGAAGGGGCGTTATTCTAAAACCGAGTGATTCGAGCAACGTGTGTATTGGGGAGGTGAAGCCAGGTTTTAACCAGATGCTGGTATGTTACTGGTACATGCGGAAGACATGTTACTTGCACACGCACATGCACAGCTCCGTGTCTGGATACAAACTTGTAGCTGGACACGCCTAATTTTCTTCAACTCAATTTCCTACAAACAACCAGGCTTAACAGAGAGACTGATTCTAGCCAGCTGCTCACGGGAGCAAAGGCTGCCACCGGCCAAGCACATGCAAGAGCGTGGCGGTGCTGCCCCCTGGTGGCCATGCGCGTGCCTGCACGGCGACTTCGCAGACCCGGCAGCTGCCCGCAGTGGAAGCAAAGAAACCCAACCCGGCGAACAGACTAATAGCTTAGCTAGGGTTGCCAAGGGCCGGCAGTGCCTGGTGGTCATCAGCGTGACTCCAAGTCGATCCAGCCCCACACTCCAGGCTCTCTCCCCTGTGTCACGTTCCCTCCATTCAAAGTGTTTCCCACCAACAGCACACACGTCCGTGGATGTAAACAACCCCAAGAACATGCCTCCCGACACGCAAACAACACATGGGCGCACATGCAGCGTCCGTGCACGAACCCGTGTGGCCTCGCTTCACTCGGGGCGGTGGAACCATCACCCGCAGGGTAGGGGGCTGCCTTCTGAGACACTCGACCAGTCTCGGCTGCACGCACAGGGCGGTGGTCCTGGAGCACGGGCCAGTCTCCTGGGCAGGCCGCCCGCGAGGCCCTGGCAGGGCCAGCTTTCTATGGGACCTCCTTGCCTGTCGCGTTCTTCACGGGGGACTCGGACAGGACTGTCTGTCCTGCCGGTGGCCCACAGGTGACGATGGGGACAGGCAGTGCCCCTAAGGGGACCCTCACAGGGCCTTAGAGGGGAGTCAGGACCTGCTGCCAGGCTGGAGGCTTTCGCCAGACAGTTGGCAAGTGAGCGGCATCAGGGCTTCCCTCCCTCCAGCCCTTTCTCATCTATCATCTATTAGACTTGCCAAAGTTTCTCCCGCAGGGAAGTGGCATCCCCAGCTGGGTCTTCCCGCCACAGTGCTTCAGCCAGCCCGGAGCAGGGGCACGCACTTGTGTGCTCTGGAAGGAGTCTGCCGCGCTCGGTAGCATGCATTTCTGGCTCCTGCCTTACAGGGTTTGTAGAGCATGCAGCGACTTCACGCACAAGGTCCCAGCTGAGGGTAAGACCCCTGGAAGCACCACCTCAGGGACAGTGGCTGCAGTCCCTCGGGTACTTCTAGATGCCTGCCTTAGGCTGAGAGAGCACCACGGGAAGCCTGGGCTGTGCTGCGCTTTCATAACTCATCTTTTTAATTAGGCCCAAAGCCTGGGAAAAAAGTAAAGGCTGACTTGAAACCCTCCTGAAGGCTTGTTTATCTTCCAGTGTGTCAGTGTGCGTGTCACAGGGAGCCCGTAACAGGCACCTCCGTGCGTGCAGCACCACCCGGATCCCTCGTTATTGCCTGCGTGGGATTGGCGGGGCGGAAGTTTACTACCGCTGCTCCGAGGGGGCCAGGAGTGGCCCAGCGTGGAACAGAAGGGCCAGGCCACCCGGGCGGACGCTCGGTGTGGGGCGGGGCCGGGCTCCGCTCCTCCGCGATCCACGTTTCCTTGAGGACCCCCCCCTGCCGTTCCCCCATCTTTGCTAAATCACCAGGGGAGGTTACGGCCTCATAGCTGTAGCTCTCCCCCATTAAAATTCATAGCACTGTGAAGAGGAACTATTTCCACTTTCCAAATGTTGTACAGGACTAAAAATGAAAACTCATTATCACCTTGCAACTCATTAGCAGGACTTCTCGGCATAAACAACTGCTAATTACGCCTGGCACGCGCTCACTGGCTTCCTTCTGGGCACGGGGAGGGTAATTAGGGGCCATTCTACACCGAATGTTGCCCCAACCCTCCTGTTTTCAAACGCGCGGATTACACAGAGACACTGCTCAGAGTCGAACCGCGGCCCTGCCCGCAGCTGCGTGGCCCTGGGCTGGTCGCCGGACACCTCTGAGCCTGGCGCTCTGCACGCCAACGGTCTCGGTGTCACCGACTTGAGGGGGGAAGGCGTCGCGGTGAAGCTGCCTGGTGCTCTGTGCTCAGCGACAGCCCCCCCACCTCTCCCTTCTGCCCGGCCCCTGCCCACCCACGCGGGCTACGTTCCTGTCTGGAAGTAGGGGTGTGGGCTTTGTAGAGAGTTTATGCCTTCGCCCTGACTGTCGTCTCTCAGTGATGAGAATCGCATGACAATCTGATGGCGGCTGAGGGTAGCAAGCTTTAAAGTAACGTTTTCAGGGGACCAGCAGTTAGCGTAATGGCTATGTCGCTGGACTCCCACGTAGTCAGCCGTGTCGAGTTCTGGACCCAGTGGCTTAAACTCATGCTAGGCGTGTGTGCGTGCGTGCCCAAGATCCCAAGAGGAGAATGGAGAAGGGATTGTGGCATGGCCATCTCCCCAGGGGGTGATTTCTCACTTTCTAACTCTCTGTCTTTCTGACGAGTGCACGTGCCCTATAGCAAAAAACCTCTCCAAAAACAAACACATAAACAAGATAACGTTTTTAGTGCCGAAAGTCGTGTGCATGCGTCAGAGAGACAGAGAGACAGAGAGAGCGAGCACTCCAGGGGGCCTGCTTCTGCCCAGCCCTGTTTTCCTCGTTCTCCCCGCTGCAGGTCCTGGGCCCATGCACACATGCCTGGTACATGAAGACCACCGGGGCCAGGACTCCAGCCCAGGCTGGCTACGGCTGTCCACCCACCCACCCCCGACCTTGCGGCTCACACCACCCCTGCCCTGCACCCCTGCTCCCTGCCTCGTGCTGCCCATCTGCACGCATCTGCACCCCTGCAGTGTACAGCCAAGTGCACCACGGAGTGTCCCACTGGCACTGCCTCCCCTCCTCCTGACCCCTGCCCCTGCCCCTGCCTCTGCCCTCAGTGCCCTACTTGTCCTCCCTGCCCCCACCCCACCCCACCCCACCCCTGCACACCCCGACCACCAC